ATTAAAAGCAGGAGTCAAAGTCCAGGGGAGGAAGGGTGGAGGCGTGTGTGTGGTGTGTGTGACTGTGTGTGTGCAGAGCGGTGGGCAGATTTTAATGCATGGTCAGAGGCAGGCATCATCGATTTCAACGCTAAGTGAAGGACAAGGAGTGCAGAGCTCGATTCCAAATCAATGATACAGTCCAAAATGTCTGGCACGCCGAGTGCAAGGCACCTAGATTAATGTGCAAAATGAGTGGCACAAATTTTGTCAGACACACACATGACAAAGCCTCCAGGTGTGTAAGGAGAGGAAGACAGTCACTCAGACAGACTCACAAAGTGAACCAGACGGTGCTATCCCCTGTGACGTATATAATGTTGTTGTTGTTTTTTTTACCCCCCATAATTTTAAAATTAAAAACACAGGCTTGCCTAAGAAATTGCATGGCATATGCAAAGGACCACCACTTACGGGGATCCTATAGAGACCAAAGCAGTGGGTGTGATGGACTAATTAAGTAGGGCCTGTGTTCTCAGACATCAATAGGTTCCGTCAGACTGCACATAGCTTCCCATGCCCTATCATAGAGGGAATACTGCTGATTACACACCTGCACGTATGCACACACTTGAAAACATGCAATGGTAAATCTGTATGAGGTTAACATTTGTTTTACAGATAAATATATCTTAAATATACGATTTACATGAGGTTCAAAAAAGCTTATTGTTTCTGCTTCTTCCACTTTATATTAAATAGTTTTTACTTCATTGCTTGTAATTACATTTAAATCAATAAAGTTTCAAAAACAGGAAGCTGAAAAGAAAGATGTAAATCAATTTACTCTGATCCTTTGACTGGTTAAAGAGTTGGTCAAAAAAAAAGGAGACAGAAAAAAAAACGATGTTGCACAAAAAGGAAGAAAAGGGAAACCTCTGACTGTTATCCGAGTAGAGGTGCAAGCAGAAATTAAAATGTTTCATATCGAGCAATCTGAAATGAATTGGGTGAGGCAAGAAGAGAGAAAAGAAAAATCAATGGATCTCTGGCTGCGGTGAAAGGGACGGCATCACGAATGGGATTTGCCAGTGGGGCACAGCAGCTGCCAAATAACCTAGAGCTAAAGAATTACAATAATACTGATGAAGTGTGTGAGGGCTTTTAGAGGCATTGCTGGAAAATTGCTCTGATGGAGGCATAACAATGCAGTCTAATTCGAGTGCCCTCTGTACTGCTTTGAAAAGGCACAACAAGATGTAACACTACCCTCCAAAATCAGCTGCAAAAAGCAGCAAAAGGCAGAGTGATGTGTGGGCAATGGTGCTTCCACTGATGTATGGGAGGAAAGGTTTTACATCTTAATGTGTTTGCAGGGCTCTCTTTACCCATATATAACTCTACAGCTGATCATCACATGTCAAGTATCAGGGAACGTCCTAGCCTCTACTCCTCCACAGATTTTATTATTCCAGCTGTGTATTACGTGTTGATGAATACAAAAAAGGAAAGCGAGAGCAATGTAAGAAAAAAAAAAAGCAGTATTCATCCATTTCATTTTGAGTATGCAGCTGTTAAACAAAAAAGAAAAAGAAAAACAGAGGCAGGAGGGAGAGATGAGACGGGGTGAATAAATAGATGAGAGGAACAAGCTCCCATCATCTATTTTTATGCTGCATTTAATTTACATTTTCTTTTTGCTGCCGATAAAAGTGGACAGGGAACACAAGGACGGTGACACCCAGAGAGCTCCCCAGGTCAGAGGGCAGCAGTTAACCTGTCAGAAGCAGAGTACTGATTAGAATAAATCTACACACTCACTAGAGGTCAACTCCGGCCTCTGCTACCAGTCTGACCCACCACTCTTGCAGGCGCTGTGTGTGTACATCTACCAGCTATGGGTAGTGAATGTGTGTGCTATAGTGTGCATACACACAGAGTGTGCGAGGGTCTGAATGAAAACATGAATGTGCATTAGTGTTTGCTTTACTGAGAGAGCTTTTACTTTTCATACAGTATGGGTTTTCCCTGCTATAAACAGGCGACGTCGTGCCACCTTAGAGCTAAGAACTGCACGTTTATTGATCTCTTCAAGGATTTTTGTACAATGCTTTTAAACAGTGGCTTAAACAGATCTGCCATTGTGATGGAGAGGTTCTTGTTTTTAATTCGGCATTAGTACGACTTTCTTATATTTTTATAACTTCATGGTTACACAATATTGATTTAATATTCCCTCAAATAGTTTACTGTTTGCCAAGGAGTGCTCAGCTTATATTTCAAAGCACACTGCTATACATCATCCTTTCTGCTTCGTTTAAACGTGACCAAAAAAGCCACAGTTACGAGGACATTGCTCTATCAGAGCAAAAGAAGACATCCCACAAATAGATCAGTAACACTTCTTTCGAGCAAATATTTATTATAAATATTTACTGCCTGTAAAAACTGACTACTACGAAAAAAGTAAACCACCAAGCTGTTGTCCACATCTCTTCTTTAATGTGAGTAGAAAGGGAGGCCGTGCTCTGTGGGATGGAAATCTAACGCACATAAACACTAGACTTCATCTCTGGGGCTCAGAGGGCAAGACCCTGTGGCCCTCTTACAGAGGATGAAAGAGCTATCGTTGAATAAAAGAGCGAGACTGCCAGTGTACACATACGCGCACACGAGCAGATGCGTGCGCGCACACAGAATACCTCATATGAAGAGCTGGAGGCTATCACAGTGTGAGCTACCATGTGGAATGTTGCTGGGCCCACACCTATGGAGGGTGTAAAGCCTTTGCTGAACGTGTAGGGTGAACTGAGGTTACCCACAGGAGAACTGGAAGACCAGGGTTGTACAATCACAGTTAATCAGTTATTTGCTTTCCTTTGCCTTTTATTTGAACACTTTTCTAGAAACACTTGAGAGATGCAACAAAGGAATACACTTCTTTTCTTAATTGTTACCAATGCAAGTGACAGTGTTAGTAGTACAAAAGTAAATATGTGCATGCAGACAATACATTTCTGTGCATCTGCAATTTTAAGCTACCAGAGAATGAAATAGCAATAATTTGCATCTGTTTGCAGAGACTTTATTCTGATTGTTTCCCTGTCAATACAAATGCTGTTTTTTGCCTCCAGTATGAATATATTTGAAGATGACCCAAGAGCATGTTTTCTTTAAGTTTTTTATGACCTGATCTGATTATACGTAAAGCATGTAGATAATTAATGCTTATTAGACCAAGACTGAAGCAAACTTGCAGGCTTAAAAAACAATATCTTTCATTGCTATTAAGTCTTAACAAGGAAGTCTGAGGTTAAAATCACAATTACCTGAAATGTCTGTCAAAACAATAGCAGTAAAGCACAGATTGCAAAGAAAATGTTTGTTTTTTTTATGAGATCAGTTTTAATCACAGTATTAAGAAGGGTGATGAACCACGCGATGAAGCCATCGTCATTCATCCCTGCAGATTTCTTGAAGGAGGTAACATGTGATGGGGTTGTAAAAAGGGCAGAGAAAACACTCACACAGCTAGCTGTTGCAAACACCCTAGTGGATCTGCTTTAATCGTATCATTGTGATATGATTAAAGCTACTGTGTCTTCCTAATTCTAAATAGTGTATGTACCCTTAAATAAATTGCTAGTAGGCTAAATGGCAACTCAGCATGTTAAATATACACTACAAAGTCCATGCATAAGCAAAATGTAGGAATAGCTATAGAAGAAGCATGAAACAGAATCGTAAACGATCTTTAACAGTCTCAAAACTGAGAGGAAATCTTACAAGTCTGCCATCAGGCACTGACTTTCTCCAAATTGCAGTGAAATTCTTAAGTGAGGCAGGTGCTTATGCAGCAGCAGCAGCAGTGGCACACAATACCCACAGGTATCTCCTATCTCTTTCTTTGTGTGAGTCAGCCAGAAGAGATCAGTAGTGTCAGAACTATCAGGCCCCAGTCTCAACAGAAGGGTAGGGTGGGGTGGGAGGGTGTTTGGGGTGGGTGGAGGCAGTGGGGGTCAGGTCAGGGGAACTCTTTCTTCCTCTGACCCATTGTTCTTCCTCAGTTTGAAAACACACCGCGGCTCTTTCATCTGCGCCTCTGCACCGAGAGAAACAGGAAGTGTCTGCATCACAGACTCCATCCATCATCTCCAACTTAAAGACCTGTCACATTTATAGACTTTTGACTCTCATTGTTATCCACTTCGAACATGACTGACTCACACCATTATTCATGGCAATATGAACACAGTCATCATCATTTCTTCATCGTAAACATTTTTTACATACACACACACACACACACACACACACACACACACACACACACACACACACATATATATATTTATTTCATTTCTTGATTTTCGCTGGTGATTTTTATGGTTAGAGACTGACACGACAAGTGTTTCAATCTGATATGACTTGAGCTCTGCTACATGAGACGGGCAGAGCGGTTCACTCAGACAGGCTTAACTCTCCTCATCTCTCTTTCACCCAGCTCCAGGCCAACTCTAATAGCAATCAGTGAAGACCCAGACACAATGCCTAATTCAATTTCCCTGCACCAGTTTTCTCATCAAGGCTCAAGGTCCTGTCCCCAGCTGATAGGGGCCCCCAAAACATGTCTGGAAGTATGAGGATTTAGCCAGGCCATCAGCCACCCTTCTGTAATAGACACAGATAACCGGATTGTTAGAGGAGAAGTGAGGTGAGGTGAGGAGCTGAGTGAGATGAGAAGCTCACCTGCCTGCATGCCCAAAGTGAAGGGCCTTACTGCAGCCGCGAGAAACATCGCTCTCCCCTATCCGCCACCACTTCCTCATCCTCCTCGATTAAAAAAGACTTAATCAGGAGACTTCAACTCACACTTTGCTGTCTTCAATGAGATTTCTGAGACTTAGGGCAAGAAAGGTGGAAAAAGAGGGGAAGAGACTTAGAAGGAGCTGGAGGAGTTCAGTGCATGTCTGAAGGGGGCCAAGGGGAGATTAACATCTGTGTGGCTTCGGTTCACTTACCTGGGGTTCCCAAATGGTTCCCCGGCTGCAAAACGCTACGTATCCCAAACAGCAAAAAAAGCGAGAGAAGAGTGGATAAGAAAAGAGGCGGCACCCTCCTCTCGTTGTCTGTCAGCTGGTGACCCAGGGGGCAGAAGTTTGAGGAGAAGGGATCAAAGACAAACTGAAAAGCAGAGAGAAGCAGTATGTGAACAAATATAGGGGGAAAAGACAGTCAATGATCTCTTTCTGTCTCCTTCGATCTCCAGCTTTTTTATTCCCCCTTCTCTTTGCTTGGCCTTTCAGCTCTCCTGGACAGTAACCTGCTGTCCGCACCAGTCATAGTAAATAATACAAGGCTAGAGTGAGGCCTAAGTGGGCAACAATCTCCTACATGCACTGGGACAACAGAGTAAACAATACAAACATCAGAGACACAACAGCCCTCGGGCTCTGCATTCTGGCTCTCACACAGCCTCTGTGAAGTGTGTGCGCGCATGCTTGTGTGTGTGCATGCACGCTTAGACTTTCTTTTTTCTTTCTTTCATTCTTTTTTTTTTTTTTTTTTTTGCGTGTACATGCACGTTCAAATGTCATGTTCAGCAGTGTGAAAGCAGATATACTTGCGTCTCCAGCACCATTCGGGATCCCTGGTGAGAAGACATCTGATGGCAGATGCTGCAGTCTGATGGCAACGGAATTATCCAAACACACCAAACCATTACCTCTACCTAACTCAACTTATGTTCACACATAGCATAGCGCACAAACACACACACACACATGCATACACGCATACACAGGTGTACAAAAACATGCAAACACATATGCTTACTGATGCACACCCAAAAACATCACTTAAGAATCCAAAACAGCCAGGAAACAAAAAAGTGAAGGGAAAAAACTGACTCAATTCAGCATGCATCGAAACAAGCAAAGGAAAAGGCATCCTTTTACAACAAAGGAAATGGGCAGTAAAACCAATAGAATCACTGATTTCCATTCCTAATGCATCAGACATGGTGGGGAGATGTTGTTTCTGAGGTCTTGAATGGCGTGCCGGCAGTTGTCATCTGTCTGCTGTACTGTGTGTTAAAGCCGGCATGGCAGCCCAGTCCAGACTGGTGTACAATGAGCTGGATGCCAGCCAAAATGTCTACTCTCCGAACATCACACATTTCAGACGTCCCTTTTAACTCACGCAGGATGGAGGAAAGGCCGAATTTGAAGAAAGGAGGTGTGGAGGGGGTGGGAGAAACTAAAGACAAGAAGATAATTTAATTTGTTATGAGCATGAAATAAGAATTAAGAGGCTGGAAATTTCCAGAAACGTCTAAAAAAAAATAAAAAATTAAATCAGACAATGAAAATAACACCATCAGTGTGATTAATGGAAATGTCAGATAATTGTTTTCTGGCAGCATTTCATTATTCTGTGTCCCCTCTCAAAAGCCTCAACCAAAGCAAGAATTCATAAAATATGTAATTTAGCTCTGACCTTTGGCAGAGTTCAGCAGGTCCCCATCTGTGTGTGAGGAGCGGAGAGGAGCAGGAGAGAGAAGAATGATGACCCCTTTAACAGCTTGCCTGCGACTACCTGCTGATCCAAAAACACTGGCCAGACATGAAGCCCCTGCATAGTCAAAGGATCAAACAGGGCCAGAGAATACTGCTTATTTCAGATGCAAAGACTGAAGGGGGTTCTGGGGGGCTCCAGTGGTACGTTTTGTGCTACTTTGGCCAATAAAGGGGAAAAGGGTGGGTGGGGGTACAGACAGAAAACAAAAACATTAAAGAATAAATGGGCTTACGCCACCCTTACAGATAACCCAAGCCTTGACTGCTGCGAAAAGACCAAATTTACACAAACTGTACCGTTTGAAGTCTAATCCTCTTATACATTCTTAATTAAGAAACAACAGCCCATAATACTCTTTGCTGTGCTGACCCACACATGTGAAACTCATAAGTGAGGCTGTGTTAAGATACGAGGAGAAATGTTTTCACTCTCATCCAAGTACACATTCTACTGCACATAGTCACACAAGATAATTTTGCTATGCAGCCGTTTTGTCATCTCAGTGACTAATATGATTAAAAAATATATTTTGTGAGCAAACAATGCTTTTCAGAAAAGTTGCTGCATTGTCACTGAAGAAATACAGCAGGAGCAAATGCATGCTAATAAGCTGTCTTGGATACTGGAGCCAATTACAGGTATGTTGGGCAGCCGTAAGTAAATGTTATTATTATAGTAATAAGTACTCTGGAGATCTTTAGGCCACATCATTTCCACTCTCTACTCCTGAAGTTACACATCACACATTTTCTTCTTATCTCATCTCAGTGTGGGCCTTCTATGACTCAGAGATCCCTACATACGCACACGTCTGTGAATTTATGTGGCCTCACACACATGCGTGCACTCAGAAGCAGCTGGGAGCACGGGGCAGGATGACGTGAAGTGCCCACAATGGCTCCAGAGGGATTAATTTCTCCCACTTTATTTGTTTATTACTATGCGGAGAACAACTGGGGTGGCATTGACACAACAAACTGGATATAGTAGTGAGTAGCATTCTCCTGTGGCTCCTGAAGCCTCGTGCTCGTCTGTATATTAAGATCAGTAAACGCTATATGCTGCGTTATACAGTGTATAGCACTGAGGTGGTGCTGTATACCGCTATAGGCTGCTTGGATCCAAAAACGTACATTTATGAAGGCAAATAAAGGCAAATAAAATTGGTGTAATTACCAGCAACATATTATTTGGATTTCCATGATCAATGGTGTCAGTGGGCTGATGTTACTAAATTAAGCTAATGTGCAGCTTCCCTACAGTTTAGTAATGCACAGGCATGTTTCACACTATCAGTTGTTTGATATTTTCTGTAATTTTCTCAATTGCCCATAATTTCCTCATTATCGGTGACCCTTTGAGCTCACTGTTGTATCTGTATAAATAATGTAAGCAATTAAGTCTTTGTTTTTTCAGCAAACACTTGTCTTCCACTTTTGCTGAAGCACTAAACTATCACACAACCACAACCACAAAGAAGTTTTCAAGCATTTGTGTTCGAACGTTTGCATAAACAGATATTTATTGCTTTTATTTGCCAAGATGCTATTCACTTATGATAAAAATAAAAAAAATGCCTTCATCTTTTACTGGACTTTAAATAAAATGTTTTATATAATGTTCCGATAGTTGCAGGAATTGAACATATGTCAATCTTCACAGTCTGCTTACATCTACAAATTTCATATGGAGGATTTCCCGTAACACGGGATACCCCAGTTTAGAAATACACTATAACATATTATGAACATCTTTGCCAGCTAATACATTTACTGACCTTGAAGAATTACATGCAATTATATGAAGAGAAACACCTTTAAAATGATGGGAGCACGGGTGGAACGAAATGTCCAATTGTAGATAAATACTCCTAAATAAGTGGAACTTAATCTGGGCCCCAGCATCACCCTGGATGAGCTTGACCTCCTTTTTATATGACATCCAGAGATATTTTTGTACCTTCTTAAGCCATATTCCTCTCTTCTCACAGCAAGAATCTCACTCTGCCTATCTCATATGGGACTAATGAAAGTCATATTTACAGTACCCTAACCCACACAGGCAAGGTACATACACAAATCAGATGTGGTACTGCGACTGGTTAATAAAATATATATCTAAAAGTGTGAGTGAAGAAAGGTAAAGTGGTAGCACTGCATGATACAGCCACCAATTTCTCTCTGGTTATATTTAAAATCTCAATACAGTAAAACAATCTGGAGATTTAGAAAAAAAGTATTTATCTAAGTACTATGTTCCTACAAGGTATTTTTAATTAAGTTTAATTAAGGAAAATAAATGTATTATTCTTATACATGGTATTATTAGGAATATGGGCTCTTTTCTAAAATATCTCAACTCAGAACTTAAAAATAACTGTTAATAATAAAATCAACCTAAACAGAAAAACAAAGTCTAAATTTATGATCAAAAATAATCTATTGTCCGAAAGGTTTGCCCCCCCTTAAAAAAAGCGTGCAGCGAAACGAAAATACACTGTCATCGCTAACAATATCCAGCCAGCTGCTAACAGAAGGTTAACACCAAAGCAACTTAGGTCCACCTCAGCTAACAAGGTTATAGCGTGGCGGCAAACAACTGCAGCTTACTGTGTTGTGGAACTCGAGCTGTTCATCAAAATAGACTGATAGCAAGGAGGATCATGCAGACAACAAATCCTTTCAGCTTCTCCCCATCCTTCACTCTCATCAGAAGCTTTCTGTGTGAATAGCTGCACATTTGAACGCTATAACAAAGAAAAGCAAGCTACTGAATGTTTGCTACCCAGTTATTTATAAGTGTTACTGTATTGTGATTTAAAATAGCTTTTATTTCTGTTTGTTTGCTTCCAGAGCCTATGTGTTCATCTGCATCTTTATTATTGTGCAGAAATATTTCATTGTAGTTCATTTATTATTCACATATAAATGTGTGTGTGCATACATGTATAATGTGTTTATCTAGTCTGTTTTGAATTATTATTATTTCCACATATGGCTTTGGTTTTCACTTTACATTTAGTTAACTGTAATAATCTTGGGCTATAAACTGACTTGATACAAAATAACTGTAAAGCTCATCCAGTTACTAGCATGTCTATTATTTAAATCTTACCAATAAATGCATAGTTTTCCGTGGAGGACGTTGCCACCAATATTAAGTAATCACATCTGACTGACAACAGTACTACTGTGCTGCCTGAGTCAGATTGAGTTAAACATAGCGAGACATCTACGCCATAGGGGAATACTGTGTCCCAGCAGCAGCAGCTACCTTATTCTGGCTAGAAGACTGAGATTTTAATCACATTCCATCACTTAAATAGCCTTAGTATTTTATAAGAGTCCCAGGTGGTATGTCTGCAGTTGTAAAATACTAAGATTGGTGTAGAAAAGTACTTTTTCAGCATGTGGTCCAATGCAACAAAACAAACTACAACCTCAAAAATAGGAAAAACTCATTTGGAGGCTGTAGTTTAAGTCTGTATTTGTTGTTTACATGACCAGGAATTATGTGATAGGTTATATCATAGTTATCAAAGAAGTGCAGCAGGATGTTGTCAACAAAATAGTTACAATATAATTTATTTATTTTGGTCTAAAGTCCTCTTAGTTGTTACCTATTTAAGGGCTTGTACCTGTTTCATATGTACCAACACTCACAATAAAACAAATCCATACAGTAAATACAGGGAAAATACAAAATAAGTTGTGGGTTATATTATCCAGTAAAGGGAGGCCTCTTAAAAATGAGCATCAAGCTAAAAAAAAAGAATAAAACAAGAAAAAAAAAACATTAATTAGTCACAATGGAACAAAATCATCCCTCATTATCAGACTATTAGCTTTTGCATGGAAAAAGAATTTTCTCAATTTAATTTAGTAATGTCCTTTTCAGTGTCGTGTTTGTCCATGTTTTAATTTCCAGCTAATTTCCAGCTAACTGGCAAAATGATATTCAATTACTTAATTAAGTATGATCCAGCTGCGTGCCATCTCTCCACACCAGGGGC